AAAAAAAAAAGAAAAGAAAAGAAAAGAAAAACTAGCCAGGCGTTGTGGTGAACACTTGTAGTCCGAACTACATGGGAGGCTGAGGCAGGAGGATGGCTTGAATCCATGAGTTTGAGGTTGCTACAAGTTGTGATGATGCCACAGCACTGTAGCCTGAACAACAGAATGAGACAACTGTCTCAAAAAAAAGGCCTCTAGTCTAGTGAGCAGTGTAGGCTCTGTGTCTGAGATGAGCCACACCCTGCCCCATGCCCCATCAAGGGATCTTGGCTTCTCCTAGCCTTAGTTGTTTATCTACAAAATAATTCCAAAGTAGCTGGGCACCCCTTCCTCACTGCAGCTGACCTCACTGGGCCAAGCTTTTGTGTAGGTGGCATGTGTGTGGAGGACGGGGACTAACCCAGAGCTTGAATGAATGTTTAATGCGGAATTTCCGATTTCTAGGAAGACTACAAGTAAAGGGTGATGTGGGGCATCATTCAACCATTAGTCTCTAGAAAGCACCTACCTACTCTGAGCCTCAAACGCTTTCTGATTCAGGGGAGGTGAGGAATAGCCGACAACCCCAGGCACAGTCATGGTGGCCAGAAATGGAGCCACTTACTCCTCAAGAATCAAGCCTGTGGGTCATGGCGCAGCACCTGCTTCCAGAAATCCACTCAGTTGCCCTGTTCTCAGGGAGGGCAGCCTTTCCTGATTCTACTCCCCCAGTCAGGCCAGGCCCACGAATCAACATACTTGGAGCCCTACAATCTTTTCCTTTAAAGCATTCTTCGCAGTTGGAATTTTACATAGATGGGTAGAAGTCTTTGATGACCTCTCTGCCAGCTAGAAACTACTAGGCTTGGTGAGGCCTTTGTCCATTTCCTTCACTGTTATGGTCCCAGAGCCTCCCAGCACAGTCCCTGGCATATAAGGAGCACTTAACAAATATACTGAGTGAATGAATGCTAGGGGAGTAAGGCAGGTAATGGTATTTATTCCCTTTTACAGGCTATAAAATAGGGTCAGACCTAGGAGGTCTAAGCTGCTTAATGAGAGGTCAAGGACCAAAAATGAAGGTTATTCTGGGACATGAACAAAAGGAAGCAGAGTCCAGGTTCTGTGTGGGCAACATGTCCTTTATTTCACTTGGGTGCGAGTGGGCTGAGTTCAAAAAAGAAGTCAGCACGTGGGTTAAGGAGGGGTGGAAATATAAGGGTTCAGGGGTAGGGAGGGATTGGAGCACTCATTCCTTCGTGGGAAGAACATTCTTTCCTCTGTGAGGGATGGTTCTATTTCGGCGGGTCCCTACATTGGGCCCTAACACAGAGCAGGTGACTGCCTTCTGACCTAATTCCTACAATGGGAGCACCCAGGAGCAGAGGGCACACCCAAGGGCCTCCCTGTCTGCTCCTCTAAGGGAACCGCAGAGTCAGACCCTGGCCCCAGTGTGGGGAAATTAGAGATTGGGGACCCTGAACCCCCCAAGAGAAAAACATCCAAGAACATAATGGAACTTAAGAGTTGACAGAGCAAAGAAACAGCAACTTAATTTTAGCATTTCAATTGGTTTTAGCTTTGCTAAATCTGTGCAAATTCTTGCAGAAAACAGTTTTGAGGAAGCAAACAGCGGTTTGCAATTTGCCTACTTAAAGGTTAAATGGACAGGGCGCACTCAAACACAAATGGCCATTGCAACCTGGCAAAGCCTGACAGTAATTGAGCCTGGGGGCCACAGCTCTCCCTGTAAAGGGATCAGGTGCCAGCCCTGAAGGGGGCTAGAATACAGAAACCCTGGGAGAGATAGGTATTGCAAAAGTCACTGGGAACAGTGTGCGCAACCAAACCCCACACAAACAGAGGAAAAACCTCTGGGGCAGAGAGAGGAAAGACTTCTTTCTCTCCCAGCTTCCCATATGGGCATTGGCATCAGCCTCTTTGCCCCACAGGAGACAAGGGGACACCCTCCTCTTTGAACTCCTGAAGAGTGAGGCCAACCAAGCATATGTGAGCACATCCTGTTTGCTTTAAAGTTATGTTCCTTGTTTCTGAAGAATGCATGGGCCAAGTCTAGTTAACTATCAGGTGAGGAAGAGGAGATAATGGAAGAAAGCACATGTATTCAAACAATGCTAATGCACGACACCAATAGTCCACAGAATGATCTTTGCTCAGTTCTCCATTAGCTCATAGACCCTCCCACCTAAAATTACCATTGAGAGAACTCAAAAGCTGAGTGGGAAAAGCGTCTGGGGCCTCCATTGTATTCTCACCATGGTGGATGGGGGACACCTGGACCGACCTTTGAACGTCCTCTCTGTCTGTGTCTTTATTTCTCATTTGATCTATGCCACTCTAGCAGGTACCTCACGATGCTGGGGTAAGAGGCTTTTCTAGGGAAGGAACTTAGAGCAGAAATGGGGCAAGTGACAGTCTGATAATAACGATATCACTTTGAATGTACCAGATGCTGTTTTTCTTTTTTCTTTCCAGAGATGGGGGAACAAGATCTCACTTTGTTCTCCAGGTTGGTGTGCAGTGGCCTAATCATAGCTCACTGCAGCCTCAAACTCCTGGGCTTGAGTGGTCCTCCTGCCTCTGCCTTCCAAGTGGCTGGGACTACAGGTGCGTGCCACCCCCTGCAAATTTTTCTATTTTCCACACTTGATCTTGGCCAAAAGTCCGAGAAGTGATCATTTTTCTTTTCTTTGAGACAGAGTCTTGCTCTGTCACCAAAGCTGGCCTGCCATAGCATCAGCCTAGCTCACAGCAACCTCTAAAACTCCTGGGGCTCAAGCGATCCTCCTGCCTCAGACTTCTGAGTAGCTGGGACTACAGGTTAATTTTTCTCTATTTTCTAATCTTTCTTAAAGGAACTGGTCTCAATATGTTGCTCGGGCTGGTCTGGAACTCCTGGCCTTGAGGGATCCTCCTTTTAGGCCTCCCAAAGTGCTGGGATTTCACCCCTGAACCACCGCACCTAGCTTTAGACAGTTTTCCCTCAACTCTTTGAGGTAAATTCTGTTAGCAACGCATTTTACAGAGGAAGAAATAGGCACAGGAACGTCTCTTGGCATGCCCAAGACAGCAGCAGAGCCTAGGTATTCCAACCCAGACAGCTGCGTTCAGCCTGTACCCTTCTCCAATCTAAGTTCCCTGGGTTACGTCAGTGTAGGCATACGGAGTCATATGTTCCAGCTCTGCCCGATGACCTAGTTTAGTCATTAATACTGGCTAGCCCCTTGCCTACAGGGTTGTCTGGAGACTAGGGTTTAATACCTTGCCCAGCACATAGTAAGTGCTCAATAAATGTTAATTATTGATACTCTTGTTATTGTTAGGAGAACTTCGGAGCCCAGGAGGGCAGACTGTAGAGTGGTATCTCTGCACGCTTTGCAGATAAGGTCACCCCGCTGCTCCGCAGTTGGGGGGAGGCTCTAGTAGTCTCACACCCAGCCAAGGGCACGTGGGGCGGGAGTTTGGGGGCCTGAGGTCCCAGGCCCCGCCCCGCCGGGCATTTAAGTAGGGACGCTAGGCGCAGGCGCAGACAACGTGGTCCAGCTCCGGGTGCTGCAGGTTCCCCGCAGCAAGTTGCGCGCGAGTCCCACCGCCAGCCCCGCGCCCACCCCGAGACGCACGCACATGGAGGAGGACGCCACCCCCCCGGACAAGCCCCGCGTCCGCCCCGCGGCGGCGGTGCTGTGCCGCGGCCCTGTGGAGCCGCTTGTCTTCCTGGCCAACTTCGCGTTGGTCCTGCAGGGCCCACTCACCACTCAATACCTGTGGCACCGCTTCAGCACCGACCTCGGCTACAATGGCACCCGCCATCGGGCGGACTGCAGCAATCGTAGCGCGGACCCCACTATGCAGGTAGCCGGGTGGTGAGCAGCGCCGACGGGGGCGGCGCCGCGCGATGGGGCCGCGGAGGGGTTGTGCAGTTCGGAAGTGGGCGGGCCAGAGCCAAGGGGCCTCCCAGAGAAGTGCTGGGTCCGGGGTGCAGAAAGTTGATCTAGTTTTAAAGCGTGGTCTGGATGAACCAAGAGCAAAACAAAATGGATGAAAGGTAAGGGAATGAAGCCTGGTCTATTCGCCACCCCACCTCCAGTGTCAGATTGTGAGAGTCGTAGCTGAGATTCTCTGAGGTTTAGGACTCCAAAGAAAGTCCACTTTCCTGTAGTTCTCAGGATGGCGGACATTTTAGCGGGTGGGCAACGCGGAGTGAAGAATGGCACCCTGATAATTATGTCCCCACAGGAAGTGGAGACCCTCACCTCCCACTGGACCCTCTACGCAAACGTGGGCGGCTTCCTTGTGGGGCTTTTCACGTCCACCCTGCTGGGAGCCTGGAGTGACAGTGTGGGCCGCCGGCCACTGCTGGTGCTGTCCTCACTCGGCCTGCTGGTTCAGGCCGTGGTGTCCATCTTTGTGGTGCAGCTGGAACTCCACGTTGGCTACTTCGTGCTGGGCCGCATCCTTTGTGCCCTCCTTGGTGACTTCAATGGTCTCCTGGCCGCTAGCTTTGCGTCCGTGGCAGATGTCAGCACCAGCCGCAACCGCACCTTCCGAATGGCTGTGCTGGAAGCGTGCATCGGCGTGGCTGGGATGCTGGCCAGCCTCCTTGGGGGCCACTGGCTCCGGGCCCAGGGATACGCCAACCCTTTCTGGCTGGCCTTGGCCTTACTGATAGTCATGGCTCTCTATGCAGCTTTCTGCTTTGGTGAGACCATGAAGGAGCCAAAGTCCACCCGGCTCTTCACACTCCGTCACCACCGATCCATTGTCCAGCTCTATGTTGCTCCAGCCCCGGAGAAGTCCAGGAAGCATTTAGCCCTGTACTCATTGGCTATCTTCGTGGTAATCACTGTGCACTTTGGGGCCCAGGACATCCTGACCATCTATGAACTGAGTACACCACTCTGCTGGGACTCCCAGCTAATTGGCTATGGTTCTGCTGCTCAGCACCTCCCCTACCTCACCAGCCTGCTGGGCCTGCGGCTCCTCCAGTACTGCCTGGCCGATGCCTGGGTGGCAGAGATTGGCCTGGCCTTCAACATCCTGGGTCTGGTGGTCTTTGCATTTGCCACCATCACGCCCCTCATGTTCACAGGTAAAGTGTTTGGGCTCAGGGACAGCTCATCTCAGAGGCAGTGGGTGACCCGAAGGGGAGACGAGCCAGCCACTCACTGCCCTCAAATGTGGTTCATGCTTGTGGCTTTAGAAACAAAGTTATGCCCCTGTCCTGCACTGAAGGATAGACAACTAAGAAACCCCAGAAAAATACCACCTTTGATATACGGAGAATACAGACCTTCAATAGCCAAAGTAATTAATCCATGTTATCAATCATAAATATTATTAGTAATATAGAGCAAAAGACAAGTATGGCTGATACACTAATTGCTTTACCCCTTGGCCTTTCACAGGCTATACATGGTGTTCTTAAACAAAGTCCATGCCATTAGTGCCTTGATACTCACTTCTCCGATAAGAATAAGAGAATAAGAATCACAGGACACTGGGGCCTGGCGCAGTGGCTCAGGCCCATAATCCCAGCACTCTGGGAGGCTGAGGCAGGTGGATTGCCTGAGCTGACAGGTTCAAGACCAGCCTGAGCGAGAGCGAGACCCCGTCTCTTAAAAAAAAACAAACAAAAAAACAGGCGTTGTGGCAGGTGCCTGTAGCCCCAGCTACTCCTTGGGAGGCTGAGGCAAGAGAATCGCTTGAGCCCAAGAGTTTGAGGACTCTGTGAGCTATGACACCAGGGCACTCTACTGAGGGTGATAAAATGAGACTCTGTCTTAAAAAAAAAAAATTCTTGGCTAGCTTTGGGTTTTTGAAAAAGCCAGTCTTCTCAGACCACCGCTACAAAATTCCTACTTACTTTAGTTCATCTTCTCTTCCTTCCCCTTTCCCTCTCTCTCTCAACTTCCTCCTTTTCTGTTTTTGGTGGGAGAGGAGCATCTGGCCAGGACATGAGGAAGTTAACTTTTTCTTTTTTTTAGAGACAGACTCTCACTTTATTGCCCTCAGTAGAGTGCCGTGGTGTCACAGCTCACAGTAACCTCCAACTCCTGGGCTTAGGTGATTCTCTTGCCTCAGCCTCCCGAGTAGCAGGGACCATAGGCGCCTGCCACAACCCCCAGCTATTTTCTTGTTGCAGTTTGGCCGGAGGCAAGTTCAAACCCACCACCCTGGTTATATGGGGCCAGTGCCTGACTCACTTGAGACACAGGCACCGCCTGGAAGTTAACTTTTTTAAAGGGACAAATTTATTGCGATACAGCCTCCACATGTGCTGGGTACAAAGTCAGCTATTCAGCAATTTAAAACTCAGCTGCTTGTTTGGTGATGAAGCAGAAGAGAACCAAGTGCCTTGCCCTCCTGCTAGTGACACTGGGGTACAAAGATGATGCTGTCATTGCTCTAGGGAGTCTTAGCAGATTGAGACTTGGGGGCCTGGCACCTGATGGGGCTCTGGGGTGCCTCCTCATATACCCAGTTTGGAGAATCCATTGTCCTCTAGGAGTTTGCAGATTTGCTGAGGAGACAGCAGTCCCATAAGAGAGAAATGGTTACGAAGAAAACGGTATAACCTTGTAAGTAACTAAATGCAAAAGAAAAAGGGAAACTCACACTTACTGTGTCCTCACTATGCCGTCATAACTAATACTCTTCATAGGTGTTACCTCTTCTCCTTCTCCAGGAAATGTATTAGTCTCCTAGGGCTGCTATAATAGATCACAGCAAACTCAGTGGCTTAAAACAACAGAAATTTATTCTGTTACAGTTTGGAAGCCAGAAAGCCAAAATGAATGTAACTGGGCTGAACTCAAGGAGTGGTCAGGGCAGTGCCCCCTCTGAGGGCTCAAGGAGAGAATGTTTCTCACTTCTTCTTGCTTCTAGGATTGCTTGGGATTCCTTGCAATTCCTTCCCATGGCTGCTGGGATTCCTTGGCTTGGCTGTGTCACCAGTCTCTGTGGTCATGTCACTGTCTCCTTCTCTTTGTCCCATTCCCATTCTGTCTGTATCCGATTTCTGTCTGCTTTCCTCTTGAAGGGGTACATGTAATTGCATTTAGGGTCCATTCTGATAATCTAGGATAACCTCCCCATCTCAAGATCCTTAACTTAATCACATCTGCAAAGACCTATATTCCAAACAAGGCAACATTTACAGATCTCAGGGATTTGAACCTGATATTTTGGGGTACCATTATTCAGCCTCCTATGCCTCAGAACCATCCTGTGATGAAGGCCTTATTATTCTCCTTTTACAGACAGAGTGTCAGGCACAGAAGGTTAAGTACCCAAGGTCACACAAATAGTAACTGATAGGGTCTGGCATGGTGGCTCACACCTGTAATTCCCATACTTTGGGAGGAAGAGGTAGGATTGCTTGAGGCCAAGAGTTTGAGAACAGACTGGGCAACAGAGTGAGACCTTGTTTCAAACAAAAACATAGCTGGGTGGTGGTATGCATCTGTAGTTAGAGCTACTTGGGAGGCTGAGGCAGGAGGATCACTTGTGTCTAGGAGTTTAAGACTGCATTAAGCTGTGATTATGCCAGTGATTTCCAGTTTAAGTGACATCATAAGACTCTGTCTTGAAAAAAAAAAATGTAATTGATGGCATCTGGGCATCTGGTTTTGAATTTAGGACTGTCCCTAAAGCCCATACTTGTTTCTGGGGTTTACCTCCCCAGTAAGTGCTAAGTGGATGGGTGATGCCTTTTGTGACCACTGCAATCTCCCCAGTAAGTGTTAAGTGGATGTGTGATGCCTTTTGTGACCACAGAGGTATTCTGATGAGAAAGCATTCATTTGTGAAAGTGAGAGCAGGAAGACCAAGCCTAGAGAATGACAGTCTCCATTTCTCCTTAGTTTTTGTTTCCCTAGGTTTGCCATCAAGGAGGTTCTCCCTGGGTCTAACCTAAGTCCTATGTGGGCTATGTATGGGAGCTTTGCTGCCTCTCACTTGGACATCCCCTCCCAAGTCCATTTTCCTGATGAGTCTTTATTTCTCCACAGGGTATGGCTTGCTCTTCCTGTCTTTAGTCATCACACCCATCATGCGGGCCAAACTGTCCAGGCTGGTGAGCACATCAGAGCAGGGTGAGTCTCAAGATCTTCATGCCCTATGCTGCCTGAACTGGGCACATGGTCAGCCATGGCTGGGGGGCAACTTCCCTCCATCCATTCCTCCTTCCTACCAGAGAAGAAATGGCCAAGACAAATGTACTTCTGTCAAATTGCCTGGAGCTGGCAAAGGACCATGATCCTTTGGATTTTCAAACCACAGCTGGGATTTCCCATCAGCAGAGCATGATTCTTTCTGGGTAATCAGAGCAGAGGATGTACTCTCTTGAGACCTCAGTTTGTCCATCTGTAAAATGGGTATGAAGATGCCAGAGTTCCTTGATTCACTGGGTTCAGAGTATATAAGCCCAGAAGAAGAAAACAACTGTGTGACATAGATTTCATTGTCCTTTTTTTTTTTTTTTGAGACATCTCTGTCACCCTCGGTAGAGTGCCGTGCCTTCACAGCTCACAGCAACCCCAAACTCGGGCTTAAGAGAGTCTCCTGCCTCAGCCTCCCAAGTAGCTGGGACTATAGGGCCCTGTCACAACACCCAGCTATTTTTTTGTTGCAGTTGTCATTGTTGTTTAGCTAGCCCAGGGCAGGTTCGAACCTGCCACCCTTGGTGTATGTAGCTGGCGCCGTAACCACTGTGCTATGGGCACCAAGCCAGGTTTCATTGTCCTTAATTGACAGATGAAAAGAATTCCAGAAGGTTAAATTGGCTCACCTAAAGTCACTCAGTAAACGATGGATCTAGGATGCAAACCCAAGTCTGTTTTTTTTTTTTTTTTGGAGACAGAATTTCACTTTGTCATTCTTGGTAGAATGCTATGGCACAGCATACCGCTTCACAGCTCACAGTAACCTCAAACTCTTGGGCTCGAGTGATTCTCTTGCCTCAGCCTCCCAAGTAGCTGGGACTACAGGGGCCTGCCACAACACCCAGTTATTTTTAGAGATGAGGTCTCCCTCTGGCTCAGGCTTGTCTCGAACCTGTGAGGTCAGGCAATCTACCCACCTCGGCCTCCCAGAGTGCTGAGGATTATAGGCATGAGCCACCGTGCCCAGCCCCATAGTTTGTTTTTCAAAGCAGCTGGCCTCATGATCTGGGTTTTAGTTTTGGACCTCAGTTTCCTCATCTGTAACATGAACAGTTTGCCCTTGATGACATCTACAGGCCCTTCTAGTCCTGACAGTCTAGCTGAGTTTAATCTTAACTTCTGTTGGGTTGTTGCTCATTTTGCAAGCTGTGGTTTCTGCTGGCATATTTATAAAGAACAGCTTCTCAGGCCTCTGGCCCTTCATGCCTCAGTCTGGAAATACCTGGCTTATTCAGTTTTCTTCATCTGGCCTAGAAGAAGGATCTGATGATGACAGAGATTCTGTTGCCATACGCAGCTACCATGGCTCTGGTGTCCCCAGAAATCTTGCACCGTCAGTGACTTGCCCTAAGTCACATAAGCTGTGAGGTGGTGGTGCCAGGATTTGAACTTGGGTTTTTCAAACTCCAGAATATGGTATTTATTTCTTCACAGGTGCTCTCTTTTCTGCGGTGGCCTGTGTGAATAGCTTGGCCATGCTGATGGCCTCGGGCATCTTCAACTCACTCTACCCAGCTACTCTGAACTTCATGAAGGGGTTCCCCTTTCTCCTGGGAGCTGGCCTCCTCTTCATCCCAGCCGTTCTGATTGGGTAATGCAGGGCCCTGAACCCGTGCTCATAATGGAGCCCTTTATACAAAGGTTTCCTATTCCTTTTCCCAACCTGTAATGGCAGTTTCGTTCCTGAAACACTTCCCCTCTGGATGTCTCATTCCAAGCTGACTCTTCCCTTGCAGATGGCTGTCCAATCCTCCAGGAGCCAAGGGCAAGGTGGAGGGACAGCATCACTACTTGACAAGGCTGTGTTCTCTACCTCTGGTCCCATTTTATAGATGGAACTATGGTGGCAGAACTGTGCTAAAGGGGGGCCCAGAGAGCTTCCTAAGCTGGTTGTGGCTGAGCCGCAGGCTAGCCTGACAAACTGACTTCTTCTCCTGTAGTATTAGGAGTTATTTTCCAGAGCCATCTGTCTCTAGATGTTGTTTCCTACCCCTCATCTTGGGGAGGGAGGGGGTTCAGGAGGGATATACCCAGACCAGCCCACCCAAGTAAATCTTGTGTCACTTCTCTAGATAAGAGTTGAAGGTTCCGCCTTGTCAGACCTGAATCCTCTCTCTGGTCTTTCACAGGATACTGGAAAAGACTAATCCTCACCCAGAATTTCAGCAGTTTCCCCAGAGCCCTTGATCTGCCTGATCCAGAGGATAGAGAGCAAGAGGAGCAGAGTGAACACAAACCCACTGGAAGCCTGTATCTGGGAGCCCAGCCACAACGGGGCCAGCAGCTCTCCTGGAAGGGCAGAATTCACTTTGGTCAGGATGGTCAAGCTAGACCAAGGTGCTGCCCCATCCACAGCTGAGCCAGGCTCTGACTAGGATTTAGAATCATAACCCAAACAGGCCTACTCCAGGGCAGGTGGGGGGAGCCATCTGAGACCAGAGCCTGTTAAACCTTTATTCTATCCATCACTTAAAACCTTCCAGGGCAGAGGAGAGGTCCTGATGGTGGTGACATTTCAGAGACCAGGTAAAGCATGAGGGCTGGCATCTCTCCTTTCAGCCCAAACTACACAGCCCCTGGTGCTAGGGTCCTGGTGTGTGCAGTAGCCAGCAGGCATGCCTTATTGCTAAGCATGGTACCTGGTTAGTGCCAGCCTTGGCAGGAGAAAGGGCAGTAAGAGGGGCTTGGTGCCCTCTGGAGGGGGAGTGCTGCTATCACTGTGGTTGGGGAATCAGCCTTTGGCTCTGGTCTTTCGACCCTGCCCTGAACAGTGCCAGTTGTCATAATAAATCAGTTTAATGAGATAGAAATGAACCTTTTGGTCTGTAGGGCATTGGGCTTTGGGACCCTCTGTTTTCTTGCCCCCAGTCTGCCTGCCATAGATCAGGTGACAGCAGTTGCAGGGCTAGGTAGGAGGCCCCAAGCTCCTGAGAGGTTGGTACTATTGTGGCCAGCTGAGGCCTCATCTGCCTCATTCTCTTCTGGGCTGCTGAGAGGTGAAAGGCTGCCAGGCTGGCATCAGCCCAGCAGGTAAGCCTAGGCATAGTGCTGGCTACATGTTCCCAAGAGGCAGGCAGGTCCACTCTCTGGACGCCCCATCATGGTTCATGGCTGCACCAGCCCCGGCAGCATGAGTGTATGTTCCCACTCAGTGTTCCTCCCCGTTACTGGGCATGTCAGCAGAGCTGTGTGCTGAGACTGTCCTGTTCCTCTGTAGGTCAACAGCAACCTGGGACCTGGATCCGATTTCCCATATAATCCAGAGCCCCAGCTTCCCAGAGAATTCAAGGGGGCCATTTCCAGGGAGTTAGGACAATCTGCACCTGAGGTGGAAATCCAAATCTTTTTTTTTGGGAGACAGTCTCACTCTGTTGCCCCAGGCTAGAGTGCGGTGGCATCACAGCTCACGGTAACCTCAAGCCCCAGGGCTTAAGAAATTCTCTTGGCTTGGCATCTGTGGCTCACGCGGCTAAGGCGCCAGCCACATACACCTAAGGTGGCGGGTTCGAATCCCCAGCCCGGGCCCGCCAAACAACAATGATGGCTGCAACCAAAAAAAATGGCCAGGTGTTGTGGCGGGCCCCTGTAGTCTCAGCTACTTGGGAGGCTGAGGCAGGAGACTCGCTTGAGCCCAGGAGTTGGAGGTTTCTGTAAGCGTGATGCCATGGCACTCTACCCAGGGGGATAGCTTGAGGCTCCGTCTAAAAAAAAAAAAAGAAAAAAAGAAATTCTCTTGCCTCAGCCTCCTGAGTAACTGGGACTACATGTGCCCACCACAATACCCAAATTTTATTTAAGACATTTGCTTTGATGAAGACCATAAGTTTCCTAGGTGGTCCTTGACTCTTCAAACCAGAATTGCCTACAGGGGGTTGTTGCTGCCATGTCTACCCCTATTTCCTCTTACTTGTTCTGCTAGCCAGTTTCCTACTGGAAATCATGCAGGTGAAATGGGGGTTGCCCAGGGCCAGGTGGGGCCTCTGGTTGGGAAGACCAAAGCAAAGAGATGTAGTCGCCACAGGCTCTGAGAAAAGGGGAAAGGCTCTGAGGGTGTCTTTGGTGATGGCCTCTCACTAGCTATGTGACTTTGAGCAAGCCCCAGTGGGTAGTTCTTAGTGATGCCCCAGTATGTGATTGTGGGGATCACATCTGATTGGAGAAGTTAGGAAACAATTAGCTGATGCTCTGACATTCTCCCACCTGTATATTCTAGAATGAGATGTCTCTGTGGGGCAAGGTGGGCTTAGGGGAAGGATGACTAAATTATGGATGGACTTCTGACCTTTGTCCCTGAGCAGTGTTTGGCCCCTGGAGGAGCTGGGGAAGGACCTAGCTGACTCTGTCACAACCAGGGGCAGCAGCTGCAGACCAGCCAAGCAGAAAACCCGACCCTGCAGACTTGTGTCAGAGCAAGCTTTGGGGAAAGGCCACCTCTGAGCCCTCTGTATCCAAATCAGACCGGAGGAGCAGGCCGTCATGCTTGCCCTGGCAGTCAGTGGTGTCTGTCACTCCTGAACTCAGTGGGCTGACTCGGAAGAGGTTCATCAGCTGCTTGGGATGGGGCTGGACGCTGGGCACTGATTCCCCAGAGACAGAGGAGTGAGCAAAGGTCAACCAGAAGGCCAGAGAGGGTGGTAGAAGCAGTGGAGCACGTGCCAGAGAATGAAAACTTGACAGTACTGCCCACGAGGACTTCAGGAGGGAGAGGGACTGACGGGAGACTGGAAGACAGACAGCATCTCCTAGAGATACTCATACATTGTATTGTCACCGACTGCGAGGCCAGCCTCTGGTCTGCCCCGTTCTTGACATCCATGCCCCAGCCCTGGGCCTGGCACTAGTGAGCGTGAGGAAGGGAGGATCGAATGCAGCCAGAGTTGGGGCCCAGACTGGCTGCACGGGATCTTTGGCAGGGAGGGGAGTAGAAGGAAGGGGTCCCAAACCTGGGGTGAGACTTTGACTCTGATGGTGTGGCCCAAGAGCTAGGAGTAACCCGGCAAGCATGGCAGGGATGGGGCTAGTGGCTGAGCCAGCCTTGATGTTTGGACCCGCAGCCCTCAGGAGGGGAGAGGCAGGGCAGGTCCAGCTGCCCCACTGACTGGAGTCTGGTTTATGACATGGAAGATACTTTCTTGCCCTCTCATCCCAATGGAAGGAGAGGCAGCGGGGCATTCCTGCTCACAATCCCAGTGTGTGATTGTGGGGATCACATCTGGTGGGAGAAGTTAGGAAACAATTCTACAGCCCCTGGTCAGCCTTTCCTTGCAAAATCCTATCCCCCACTGCTAGATTCTTTGAGGCAAGGGAGAAATAACAGCCCACCTGGGACAGAGTCCCCAGGGTGCTTCTTAGGAGAGCAGTTCCACAGCAGTGTTCTGGGTGCCTGGAGGCCTCAGTCTGGATCCAGGGCTGCCACTAATAACTTGGGAAACCGGGCTTATCACACAACTTTTCTGAGCCTCAGTGTCCTTATCTGTGGAATGGGGCTGATAGTACCCCCCTAGAGTTGTGGTGACTACAGAGACCACGTCTTGGAGTAGAGTGCCTGGGAAATGGCAAAGATTTGTGAGGGATTCATTTTCTAGGGACTTGCTGTTCAAAGCATTAGCCCTTTGGTTGGTCCTTATAGGTTTAAAAAAAAGGCATCAGCATCAGCTCACCTGGGAATTTATAAGAAATGCAGAGTCTCAGGCCCCATTCCAGATCACCTAAATTGATTTTTTTTTTTCTTAAAGACAAGTCTCACTCTGTTATCCAGGCTAGAGTGCCATGCCCTTAGCCTAGCTCAGCAATCACACACTCCTGGGTTCAAGTGATCCTCCTGCCTCAGCCTCCTGAGTAGCTGGGATTATAGGTACCCATCTCCATGCCTGGCTAATTTTTCTATTTTTAGTAGAGGTGGGGTCTCTAGCCAAGATTCTCCCATCTTGGCCTCCCAGAGTGCTAGGATTATAGGTGTGAGCCACCAGCCCAGCCTCTTGAGTTGAATTTTAACAAGATTCCCAGGCGATTTGAATGCATGTTAAAACTGGAGAAGCTGCCCTGGGTAATAACCTTTTTCCTTCTTTGGGATCCTGCCTCTTCCCAGAGAGCTTCAGGTTCCGCCCAGGCTGCTTTTGCTGTTTAGAGAGGCCACCACATCCCTGAGCAAAAGAGTGGGCAGCCTTTGGGAGATGCAGGATGATAGGTTGGCCAGACCAGGCAGAAGCCTGAGGCACAGCACCAAGGCCTGGGCTAAGGTGGGCTTTGAGACTTGGCTTCTCTTTGCCCAGGCCCAGGCCAAGGCCAAGGCCCAAGCAGAAGGTTCTTGAGCACTCTGCAGCTACAGAGCAGTCAGAACAGGGGCCAGTTTGGCCCAACCCTAGCCTTGGATATTGCAAAGGATACCACATCAAAGGAAGGCTGGGTGGGGGCACTAGATGGTTACAGGGCAAGGCCACAGAGTGGAAAGAGTTGGTGAACCCAGGCACTGGGCATGATCTGGGTGCAGAGCATTGCTGGGCTTTCATCTCTGCTGACTCCTGGGCCCAAGCTGAGAGGGCTGGGCACTGCCCTGACTCCTGCTGGAGGCTGCCAGTCTTTACCCTCCTCAAGCCGACTGCTGTGCCTCTAGTGCCTCCAGAACTGACCAGGGACCCTCCCTACGCCCAAGACAGAGGACATGAGGTCAGGGCCTGGGGAAGGTGTACCCCATCCCACACCTATGCCCTTCACTTTCCAAATACTGAGGAGGGTGAGTTTCAGGGGGGCCATGAGGGTGGAGACAGACAGAGCCATTTCCTGAGAAGAGCCCAGGCTGTCTCAGCCCAGGGAGGCCAGTTGCAGGAGCTGGTCCTTTAGAGAGGATGATGGACATGGGAGTCACAGCAGGACTTGGGAACTGGGGACGGATTAGGTCGGGCCCATGGGTGCAGCACCTTCCAAACTGGTGTCAGAGCCCGCAGATGAGTCCCGGGAGGAGCGGCCCTGCAGGAAACGGATGATCTTCTCAATGGTGGCCTCCTGGTACTCGTGGGACCACCTGTTGGTACAGAGGCCACATGGGTCAGGGAGTTGGGCAGGTGCAGCCACTATGCCACGTGCTGCCTAGTTGCCTATTAGGGTGATTGGTACTGCCCCCCCTCAGTCCCCAGGGCCCTGTGGCTCACTTGATGCCATTGAAGGTAAGCACAGCCTGCATGTCCTCAGGCAGGACGTGGGGCTCAGGCCACTCGAAGCCATCAATGATTGGCACGATGTTCTTGCCACAGCTTAAAGCAGTCACAATCTCCTGGAGAAAGAAGAAGGAAGATACCTCTGTCCCCATCCAGGGATCCTGGAGCCAGGTGGGCTCTGGGAAGGACACTAGACTGAGGTTGGACCCAGGGTGAGACCTTGGTCCTGAAGTCCACCTTCATTTCTCCCTTCCCCCTTGTAGTATAATAAAATAATAAATATTTGGTCTTTGCCAGGGTTCCAGGCACAGAGCTCCTAAAACCTTTGGAATCTCCTGAGTGATGAATGTCTTTTATATGCTGATGAGATGATCCTAACTGGAGATGGGGATGGCCTAGAGAACTTTAGGAAGAGGCCTGGTCACCAGGAAGATCAAGGTGTGATTAGAGCGTTGGAACTCGCAGCCACACTCTATGGCCTCTGGAGAGGGCCTCTGAGTTCAATCAGCAACAGCCAATGATTGAATCAAATACACCTATGTAATAATCTCCATAAACCCCCTGAAACATGGGGCTCAGCACCTGTAACACAGTGGTTACAGCGCCAGCCACATACACTGAAGGTGGCAGGTTTAAACTCGGCCCAGGCCTGCTAAACAACGACAACTGCAACAAAAAATAGCTGTGGCGCCTGTGATACAAAGGAGTAAGGCGCTAGCCCCATATACCAGAGGTGGCGGGTTCAAAACCAGCCCAGGCCAAAAACAGAAAAAAAAAAAAAAAAAAAAAAGCTGGGCATTGTGGCAGACACCTGTAGTCCCAGCTGCTTGGGAGGCTGAGGCAAGAGAATTGCTTAAGCCCAAGAGTTTGAGGTTGCTGTGATGCCACGGCACTCTACCAAGGGCGACATAGCAAGACTCTGTCTCAAAAAAAAAAAAAAAAAAAAAAAAAGAAAAACCCATGGGCAATGCCTGTGGCTCAAAAGGGTAGGGCGCCAGCCCCATATGCTGGAGGTGGTGGGTTCAAACTCAGCCTGGGCCAAAAAGCTGCAAAAAAACCCAAAACCCTGAAACATGGGGTCTGAAGAGCTTCCAGGCTAGTGAACACATCTAGCTGCTGGGAAGGTGGTACCCCTGGAGAGGGCATAGAAGCTCTGTGCCCCTCCCCTCCAGACCCTGTCCTCTGCAGCTCTTCCATTTGGTTATTCTTGAGTTGTTAGGTAATTGCCTCAGAAAAGCCTCTTTCCCAGAAAGTCCATCTCCCAGTTGCAGAACTTACCTCATCTCCCTGTCCCAATTACCCGTTGAAAATTTCAAACTTATGGCTCGCCCCTAAGGGCTCTTCCTGCCAGAGCAGTAACTCCTTATTGGCTATCCTACCATCCCGTCATCATTCTAAGACTTTCCCTATAACCGAACCTATATACGGGTGCGCTTCTCTTTTAATCTCTCTTCTCTCTTCCTCTCTCCTCCTCTCTCTCCCTCTTTGCTCTCCTCTTTTTATCTCCTCTTTTCTCTCCTCCTTAGTGCTGCTCTGCCGCATCCCTCCTCTACCAATAAAGACCTCTCATACAAGCCTTGGTGGTCTGTGAAATCTTTGCCAGTCGAGTGCTACCCTTGTCATAAGTTGTATTCTTTATAATTGTGAAATTAAATAATTCAAGCTTTAGTAAATAATCAAACTTAAAGCTATTGGAACTTTAAATTATCCCGAGCCTTAAAATGAATGTGGCTATGTGGCATGAGTTAGCCTTTGTTTGTTCCTGTAAATAATTAGGAAGACCAATGGAACCAGAGATAAAAAGCCCTCAGATGGCTATCCCTTGCTATGGAGTAATAAAGTAATGTCCCTTGGAATGTAGCAATCTGTAACCATTCAAATGCTGTAATATATGCACTGGTCTCATGCAGGAAGTGTAATGCTGCTCAAATTTCTGTCTCTGCCTATACAAGTGAAACCTTGACTTCACTTTGGAAGGCTGGCCCCATTTGGAAGGCTGGCTGGCCAATCTCAAGCTCAAATAAACTCTATACTTAATCATATTTTCTGAATCTCATTATTTAAGGTTCACATATTAAACCACTGACAGTAAATTGCTTCCTGAATTTTGTGAGTCATTCTAGTGAATTATTGGAGGAGTCATGGAACACCCAAATTTGTAGCCAAATCAGACAAAAGTGCCATTGTCTGAGGACCCGGGCCTCCAACTAATGTCTGAAGTGAGGGGGAGGTGGAGCTGAGCTCTTAAACCTGTGGAGTCTGACACTTCAGAATTGAATTGAATTGTAGGCCAAGCTGGTGTTAGAAAATTGGACAATTAGTTGTTGGTGTGGGAAAAATTTGCTGTCAGAAGTAAAACATCACGCTCCTGCACCCAGACTGACCCATCACGCAGCCTGCCAACTGCACTCCTTACTTACTTCTTGATTCCATCTCTACCTCACTGCCATCCTACCCCAACTCCCATTATCTTTACCCCGCACCAGAGCTCTACCCAACTACTCTTTCTCCCTCTAACTCACCCTTTCACCAAGCTAATCTTCACAAAAGGTCATGCCGATCTGATCATGTCACCCCTGACTTAAACTTCAAGACTTTATTTTTTGGTTTTTTTCTTGAGACGGAGTCTCACTTTGTCACCCTCAGTATAGTGCCATGGAGTCACAGTCCACAGCAACCTCAAACTCTTGGGCTCAAGTGATCCTCTTGCCTCAGCTTCCCAAGTTGCTGGGACTGCAGGTGCCTGCCACAGCGCCCTGCTAGTTTTAGAGGTGGGGTCTCGCTCTTGCACAGGCTGGTCTTGAATTCCTGAGCTCAAGCAATCTACCTGCCTTGCCTTCCCAGAGTGCTAGGAAGCCTTGAGCCACCTGCCTAGCAAACTTCAAGATTTTACATGGTTGTTAGAATAAAGTCCAGACTCCTTAATGTGGCCTGTAAGGCCCTGTGTGGTGGGACACAGCCCACTTCCCAACCCCTATCCCTGCACTCTCCTCCAAACCACACAGAAGAAGCTTCCCTGCCCCCTCACCTAGATAATGCCCACTCATTTTTCTTTCTTTCTTTTTTTTTTTGAGACAGAGCCTCAAGCTGTTGCTCTGGGTAGAGTGCTGTTGCATCACAGCTCACAGCAACCTCCAACTCCTGGGCTTAATCGATTCTCCTGCCTCCGCCTCCCAAGTAGCCAGGACTACAGGCACCTTGCTACAACGCCCGGCTATTTTTTGGTTGCAGCCGTCACTGTTGTTTGAAAGGCCCAAGCTGAATTCGAACCTGCCAGCTCAGGTGTATGTGGCTGGTGCCTTAGCCGCTTGAGCCACAGGCGCCGAGCCCCATTCATTTTTCTGATCTGAGCTCAATCAACACTTTTCCAGGGATGTTGTCTCTTACTTCCTTGACCAAGTCAGATCCCCCTATTATAGTCTCTCATAGCTCTGCATCACACGTTACAGTTGCAAATTTAATTAGGCTGGGGCTGGGTGAGCTGGCTCACACCTGTAATCCCCGCACTTTGGGAGGCTGAGGTAAGAGGATCACTTGAGCCTAGAAGTTTGAGACCAGCCTGGGAAACACAGCAAGATCTTACCTCTAAAAAGAAGAAAAATAAGCCAGGCATGGTGGCATGCACCTATAGTCCTAACTACTCAGGAGGCTGAGGCAGGAGTTTCACTTGAGCCCAGGAGTTAGAGAACACAGTGAGCTATCATGATGCCCTTGCACTTCAGCCTGGGAAATACAGCAAAACTCATTTCTATACAAAAGATTAATTAATTAACGTGTAATTTATTTAATACTTGTGTTCTCTGTTGAACATAAGAGCAGGGATCACATCTGTTTTTTATTCACCTTATATCTCAGGATCTTTCACAGAACCCTGCCCATAGTTGCTTTTGCTAAGTATTTAGTGGATGAATGAATGAATGAATGAGATGACAGTCAGGGTCTACACTCCAGAACCATCATATCTGGGTTCACACTGAGTCTTGGCCGCAGCTCTGTGACTGACATAAATCTAACAGGATCTCAAAGTTAGTTTTCTAATATATAAAATAGGGTTAATGATAGATAGTATCTTCTAGGGTTGTGGCATAGAATATATGCAACATTCCACAGCAAGTGATTAGAATAGTGCTTAGCATATAGTGCATGCTTAATAAATAATAGTTATTATTATTCCTCCTCTGGAAAGTGGAAATAATAAAACCTACTTCACAAGGTTGTTCTGAGGATATTACTCACTATTAATGGGCTCTGGTAAGTGCTTATTGATTTTTTTTTTCCCTTTCAAGGGGGAACCCCAGGGATTAGACTTTCTTGAGTGTAGTTCACTTGTGGTTTTCCATATTGATTACTCACTAAATGTGGCTTCAGGGAAAGGAGTCTTAAAACCAGAAGCAATTAAGCACTAAAAACAACCAAAGAGGGATGACGGAGCCTTTGAGATAGGTCCAAGCCAAAGGCTCTTGTCACGCTGCCTGCCTCCCACCTCCTTGCCATCTGCTGGGACAATGGGTGCCAACAATGTTCTTTCCTGGGGACAGAACATGCATAACATGCGTAACTTCGACCAGCTCCATTTTACAGATGAAGAGAAGGAAGCCCAGAGAGGGAAAGGGACTTACAAGTCACACATGTGCCCAGCCCAAGGCCGCCCAGGCCTCCTACTCAAGCCTCCAGAGTTCAAGTCCAGGCTGCTTCACCCAAGCCCTGCTGCCTCTCTGCTGAGCATTTGGATGATCTCATCCTATAGCAACTTATTTTGGAACCTTTAGCATTTGTTTCATCCAGGATTATATAGATTGTTCACTGCACAGATTCATAGGCTGGCCAGAAAGGGGAAAATGGCTAGTTCAAGGTCACTCAGCTGGTTAAGAATATAAATTTGATTCAAGTCAAGTCTTCTGATCTGGTAAACTTAGTAGATATGTATGGCTCTGCCAGTCATTTCGGCTTCATCAGAATCACTCATATGCTTAATCATTGATTCAATTATTCCCTAAACTGTAGAGCCTTCTTTGTACTATGCACAGGTTCAGGCACCGGGAATACAGCATGAATAAGACAAGGTCTGAACTTTCAGGGAGCTCACAGACCCTCCTCCCTTTCTCTCAGAACCCTGCCTGCCACCTGCTGGGGCTCATCAGCCACATTCCCCCAGGATACTTCCCTGACCCACTGCCCTTCCATCACCCAAGCCTAGCACTCAGCTCCTCCAACACCATCTCCGGGGCTTCACCTTCTTTGCACTGTCAAACAGGACTGCATGCTAGTATCAGAGCCATCTTCCTAAAACCCAAGGCCCCAGCACCTCCCCCTGTTTCCCAGTGCTTCAAGTAAAGGACTTCTCCCTGCCTTTACACACTTATGAACTGGTTCTATAGTTTTTGTTCCGACAGTGGTGCAGTGGTAAGTTTATAACAATGTAGGATGGGGGGAGGGAGGAATTCAACCAACCAACCAAACAAACAAAATCCTGATTTGTGGTGGCTGCCAATTTCCTTGATGTAAATACTCCAACCGTGGCTGATTTCAAGCTGCCAATAGCTTCTCAATGTGGAGTTGGGAAGAGATACTGTAGTGTCAGTTGAATCCAACTCTATCCCAACCCCTTCCCTCTCAACCCTTCAGATCTGTGCCATGGAATACAGTGTGGGTTCTGGGAAAGCACCTGGGCTTTGGAGTCAGACAGAGTTTGAAGCCAAACTTTTCTGATTTCTACACTAGTAGTGTGGCCAGGGGAAAATTATTCTGCTTTTCTAGGCCTGGGTCTCTTCATCTGTGAGATGGACAAGGCAGATGCACATAGGCTTTGGGCACTTTTTTCATCCCTACCTTTATTCCTTTGCTCAGGCCGTTCCCCCTGCCTGGGATGCCTTGCCTCCCACTCATCTAAATTCCCAAGACTCTTCTCAAGTCACACTTCCTCCATGAAGCCTACCCTGATTATTCTAGTCCTTGATGCTCTCTCTTCTCCATACTCTTGCAGCAAACAAGAGGTTCACCTGTCTGGCTTAGCATTTCCACCAACTTGTATATGATCTAGTTATTGTGGGTGTATTCTTGTCTCCTCAGCTGATGGAGGAAAAGAGCCCTATCTCAGATAACTACTACATCAGCTGGATCCATAATCAGCTGCAACCTCAATTCCTACAGGCTGAGTAATGATTATGGACCCATCCATCCATCCTATACATATTCAATGAGTTCAGTGTGTCCAGTACCGATGATACAATGGTGAATATATCACATGTTGTAGTCCCTAATAATTATATTAATAGTAATAATTGCTGCTATTATTGAGCAGTTACTATGGACCAGGCATTCTACTAAGCATTTCACAAATTCTAGCTCTTTTAATCCTTGTAACAATAGCCTAGGGAGTGAAGTACTATTACTACCTCCATTATTATCCTCAGTTTCCAGTAATACATAAATGTGAAGCTAATCAGAGTTAAGTAACTCATCCAAGTCCAGAGCCAGGATTCAAAATCTCGGTTTTGTGCTCTCCACAAAGATTCCATTCTGCCTGTCACTATGGTCTCCTGTCTCTTGCAGAAGTTATTTTTCAAAGCATTTTCATCCCTTTTGACCCTCACAATAATCCTACAAGTAGGACAGGTAAGTTATCCCCATTTCATAGATAAGAAAACCGAGGCTCAGAGAGCCTGAGCGGCTTGCTAAAGTTACCCTTATAATGAGCTGCGGGTCCTGACTTCCAGCCGGGCCCAGGAGGTGCTACAGGGCTAAATGTTGTTGGGGTACACAGACAAGAAGGCATGGTAGGAGGACCCTGTCTCCTGGGCCGCAGAGGTACAGGCCAGCACCTACCTTGTGCACCCAGTCCTTGCAGTCATGGTCCTCGATGCACTTGTCCAGTGCCCCGGCTGACAGCACCAGCACGAAGTTGCGGGCACTCATGACACTCTGGATGAGCTTGTCCTCAAACTTGCCAGCTTCCAGCTTCTCCACATCAATGAAGACACTGAAGCCATGCAGCTGCAGGTGCACTTTCAAGAGGCTGAAAACAGGTCATAGGTCATGGCCATGACCTCGCATCAAGGGCCCCAGCTGCCTGCCCGCTCCTCCTCACCTGGCCAACTGGGAGCCTGAGCTCCTGCGGTAGCTGATGAAGACATCCGGGGTGTCCCCGCTGGGCTTGCAGCCAGTGCAGGGCAGTGGGGAGTGTAGCATTTCTGAGGCAGATGAGAGAGCATGTGTGAGTGGACCCCCCTCTCCCGCCATAGGTGCATCATCCCCTGGGACTCAGTTCTCTGACCAACCAGCCCTCTCAGCCCAGCCCAGCCAGGGTAGCTAGTTCCAAAAAGGGTCACTGAGGGGGCCTACAGAAGGAAAGTCACAACTCCTGGTGAGCTCCTTCCAGGAGGCAGGCATTGTGTTTTAAGGGCATTGATACACACTTTCATCCTTACCCTCCCTCTGGAACTCCAGACCTGCACAGCCAGCTGCCCCAGGGTGTTCCAGACTCAACACATGATCCTTCCCTTGCTCCTTCTATCTAGTTTCCCACCAGAAAAAGCGATAAGCCTCTGAGTACTGGGCATCAGCTTCAACTCCTATTTCTCATTCAACCAGTCAACAAATATTTAGTAAGCACTGACTGTGTGCCAGGTACTATCCTTAGTGTTTGGGATATTGTAGTGAACAAAACAGACAACATTCTGCCCTCATGGAGTTGATGCTCAATACTCAGAGCCAGGCACTGTGTTCTGATGGTTCTACTAAACATCCTGACATCAGCCCTAGGACCCTCTTACTGTCCAGCCTAGCAATGGCTTCCCCCAGTCCAGCAAGGATTGCCCAGCAGAGTCCATTTCCCATAGCTACCAGAGGATCTTTCTTTTTATTTCTTTATTTCTTTTTTTTGAGACATTCTCACTCTGTCCCAGGTAGTCTCACTCACCTAGGTAGAGTGCTGTGGCATCATCATAGCTCACAGCAGCCTCAGACTCCTAGGCTCAATCGATCCTCTTGCCTCAGCCTCCCAAGTAGCTGGGACCACAAGCTTTGGTTAGTTTTTCAATTTTTTTTGGAGAGACAAGGTCTTGATCTTGTCCAGGCTGGTTTCAAACTCCTGAACTCAAGCAATCCACCCACCTCGGCCTCCCAGAGTGCTAGGATTACAGGCGTGAGCCACTGTGCTCAGCCTCAGAGGATCTTTCTAAAATCCAAATATGATCATGCAAAATGATTCATAAAAGATGTGCATGACTCCCTATTCCCTAGAGAAGTGATTTTTTTGAGACAGAGTGTCACTTTGTCACCTTTGTTAGAGTTAGAGTGCCGTGGCTTCATAGCTCACAGCAACCTCAAACTCCTGGGCACAAGCGAGTTTCTTGCCTCAGTCTCTCAGGTAGCTGGGACTACAGGCGCCCGCCACAATGCCTGGCTATTTTTTTAGAAATATGGTCTCACTCTAGCTCAGGCTGGTCTCGAACCAGTGAACTCAGGCAATCCACCTGCTTCATTCTCCCAGAGTGCTAGGATTACAAGCATGAGCCACCATGCCCGGCCTCGGAAAGAGATTTTTTTTGTAAGCTATTTTCCACCTCGGCCTCTCCTACTGTGCAAAAATGAACTCTTAGATTTTTTTGAGAGCTGCAACATAGAAATTATAAAAGCTGACCTGCTTCAGTTGAAGCATAAGAATGGGGCCAATGCCTATTCCCTTGTCCCTGGTAGGTGCTTGCTGAATGAGTGGTTAAAATGAAGTAATTCATCTTCCCATGATATTCAGACTTAATACTCACAACATTTGTCTGTTTAGGAAGCAGAAAGACAGCTTGAATCCCAGTTCTACCATCTAATGGCTTCTATAACCTTGGGAAATGTATTTAAATTCTTTAAATCATAGTTTCATTATCTTTAAAATTAAGAACCGCTGTGGAAATGTTCTGTATCTTTGATTATAATGGAGGTTATGGACCTCCTCAAGTTGGACATTTTTGGTGCCTCTTTTTATGCTTAAAAATTTTTTAAAGGGCTGGGTACAGTGACTCATGCGTGTAATCCTAGCACTCTGGGAGGCTGAAACAGGTGAAATGATTGAGCTCAGGAGTTTGAGATCAGTCTGAGCAAGAGTGAGAACCCATCTCTACTGAAAATAGAAAAACTAGCCAAGTGTGGTGGTGCACACCTGTAGTCCCAGGTACTCAAGCTAAGGCATGAAGACTGCTTGATTCCAGGAGTTTGAGGTTGCTGTGAGTTGTGACAACACCACGGCACTCAACCCCAGGGTAACAGAAGTTTTTCAAGTTCATTTAAAAAACTGAACACCATTGCATAAAATTGATGTAGCGATTAATGAGATAATACCTTAGAAACTTAATACTCTACCTAGTATATAGTAATTGATGGTAAATACTAGATAAATGGTAAATTAGTAGATAAAAATAAATCAGTAAATAAAGAGGGTTGCTACAGCCCTAGAATTCACTGTAAAGCCCCTCCAGACCCGTATTTTGTAAAATGTTGGCTAAGAGGACACGTCCTTCACCCAACTCCGTGTTCCCACCCATACCCCTCTGCCACTCTGCTCCTCCTACCTCCACACCTCCGTACATGCCCACTCTTCCTCCCTCTGCCTGGGCTGCTCTTCCTACTGACATCCCTGCCTTACCCCATACATCCTTCAGGACATGGTCAGGCATCCCCTGCTCTCCAAGTCTAGACCACACTTTCACTGGGCTCCCACTGGAGTCCTGGGCATGCTTCCTGCTGGGGCCACCTTCCTGTTAATATAGATACCTTCCTCCCTCACACACCTCAGACTGGGAACGTCTTTTTTTTTTTTGCAGTTTTTGGCCAGGGCCAGGTTTGAACCTGCCACCTCTGGTATATGGGGCCAGCGCCAAAGGCGCTGCCCCCAGACTGGGAACTTCTTGAGGGCAAAGGGCAACAACATATTTATCTTTTTTTTTTTTTTGAGACAGAGTCTGGGTAGAGTGCCATGGCATCATGGCTCATAGCAATTGGGCTCTTGGGCTCAAGAGATTCTCTTGCTTCAGCCTTCCAAGTAGGTGGGACTACAGATGCCTGCCACAATGCCCAGCTATGTTTTAGAGACTGGGCCCTACTCCTGAGCTCAGGCAATGGAGTGCTAGTGTTATAGGCGAGAGCCACTGCTCCCGCCAACGCATTTATCTTTACATCCTCAGAGGAGTCCAGTCTGACACAGTGTATGTACTCAGTCAATCCACAGAGGGGCTCTGGCATCCACTCAGTCTCCCCTACCCGCTCGGGGGATGGGGCTGGGCCGGGGTGGGGAGAGGCCTGACCTCGGGCGGCTGCGATGATGCGGGTGCGGTGCACGCCCACGTGGATGCCACAGTCCTCCAGGAGCTGCTGCTCTGACACGCGGTGCAGCAGGGAGCGGTCCAGGCCACAGCAGACCAGGCCGTAGGTGTACTGGCGGAAGCGCGGGTCCAGGCTGCCCAGCCAGTCGGCCAGGTTGCTGCGGTCGCACATAGCGTAGTTGGCGAAGGTCTTGAGCTCCGTGAGCTCCCTAAAGAACCTGCATCCCATGGAAGAGAAGGCCCTGAGGTCCAGACTCTGGATGAGCTGGAGGAAGAGGGGCAGGTAGTTAGACATGGGCGGCACGGGTAGGACGGAGATGAGGCTCTGTACCTTTTGCGAGTGATGCCGGATTTCATGCCCAGGTCGGCCTGGAGTTCCTCCTCAGTGAGCCGCAGGAGCAGGTCGCCATCCACCTGCTGCTCCTGGGGCAGGGGCCGGGTGTTAGGAAGGGTCCTCCCAGTCCCCGGACCTCAGCCCAAGATGCAGGGGGGCAGGGGGAACTGGAGATGGCAGAGGAGGCCGACGGGACCCAGATTAGAGCCCGGTGACCCGAAGGGTGGCTGAGTACAGGGTCCCCACCCCACTAAGGGCACTCTGATAGCATGCAGGCCAGGAAGGGCGCTCTACCGGCGCCGGGGCTCTACCCGGAAGCTCTCGCAGTACTGGGAGAAGCCTATCTGCTGCAGCCACATTTGGACCTCGGCCTCCTTCCAGCTGGCCACGCAGGGCAGGATGGGCCGCGGCACCTCCTCACCCAGCAGGCGCAGTGCGCGCTTGGCCAGCGCCGACTTGGTACCATTGGTGGAGTACGAAACGAGGCGTTTCAGGCTCTGGATGGCACCAATCTCGCTGAACACCTTGGAGGGTGGGGTAGGTGTTAAGAGGGTATCTAGAGTGCACCAGCTAGCCAGCTGTCCTCAAAGGTGCCCAGTCCCTCCCCCTACTGCTTTGCACTTCTGAAAGACCCACAGTCTGCCCCAGCCCTGCCTTCAGCCACTAAGCCTGTGGATTCCCCTGACTGATTCTCCCTCCTGAAGTTCTCTCGACTCTTGACCAGGTCAACTCACCTGTCTCTTCTTCAGCTTCCATCAGCCCTGAGATAAAGTCTGAGCTCTGAGTATAGCCTCCAGATGGGGCACAGCACAGCCCCTGGCACCACTCCCAGCTCATCTCACCTTGCACCAATCCACATTTGTCTGACACCCACCTCCACCCCTACCCACCAAGGCTCTCACACCTCTGGGGGGGCTTACTGTGTTTCCAAACCCTTAATTCCTCCAGCCTGCTGTGGAACTCCAAATTGATTAGCACCTCCTCCATGAAGCCTGCTTTGATCGTCCCACAGTTTGGCCCACACCTCCAACTAGGACTCATACCACACTCTGAAAGCCACTGTCACTAGTTGATAATGCAACTTCAAACAAATACATAAATAAATAAATAAAACCATGATAGGCCACCCTGTAATCCTGGGACTCTGGGAGGCAGAGGTGGATGGATTGCTTGAACTCAGGAGTTTGAGACCAGTCTCAGCAAGAGCGAGATCCCAGTCTCTACAAAATAGCCGTGTGCTGTAGTGGGTGCTGGTTGTCCCAGCTACTCAGGAAGCTGAGGCAAGAGAATCACTTGAGCCCAAGTGTTTGAAGTTGCTGTGAGCTATAACACCACAGCTCTCTACCAAGGACAACGAAGTGAGACTCTGTCTCAAAAAAAAAAAAAAAAAAAAGCCCAGAGAGAGGAAGCCGGGTAATCAAGGTAAGTTCACACAGTAAGTTAAAATAGAGGGCAAAGGCTGTGGATTAGACCCTGGCTCTGGGGACCCTTTGGGACTCAGGTGGGGGTTATCTGACTGACACAATGATGTCCTACCACAAGACTCTGTCTCCAGGTGCCACCTTCCCAGACTCAGATGGCTAAACTGCCTCCTGAAGTCCCCCAGTTGGGCATCTCTCCAGCACCTCAAACTCCTTACACCCCACCAAACTCACTTTCTTGCCACTTGCTGCCAGTCCTAATTCCATCTCTTAAACACCCCCTGAACCCGCTGCTCTTGGCTGCTGCTGACCCTCCTGCCTCCACCATCTCAATGCCCCTCCCTCAAGTCACAGCCTCCTTTGGGTCCCCTCACCTCCAATGCCACCCTTTCCATACAGCAGCCAGGATGATCTTTGTAAAACACTCAGTGTCTTCCTCTTGCCCTCAAAGACCAAGTCAAAACGGTATGAGTCTTTTCTTTGAGGCCAGAATGACAGTTCCCTCAACCTTCGTCTTATCTTCATCTAATTCCCATGTGAACTCCAAGTCCTAGTTGAATGTCACTTCCTCTGGGGAGCCTTCCCAGAGACTCTCTCAACACTGACTCACCCTCCTCCACACCGGCACCCACCTTCGTCTTGCCTTGCAGGCTCTTGATGGCAGCCTCAGCGCAGAGGTAGAAAGCCCCGATGCACTGCGCTTCCAAGCGCGACGAATCGAGCAGCGGCACGAGGCGCTGCAGGTCGTCTGGCCCGCGGCCCTGGCTTGTGTCGCTGGCGTCCACCAGGCAGCGGGCGAAGCGGCCGGGGTCTAGCGAGGCCACAAGCGGCTCCACGAGCGCCAGCGTCCCTGAACGCTCCACCTCGCGCTCCACCTCCTTGTTGGTTGCCAACACCGCCACCGCGAGGCAAGCATGCAGTCGCAGCAGCTCGTCCTCCTTGCAGAAGGCGAGCGGGAAGAGCCACTCCGCGGCGCGCTTCTCCACCATGCGCCGCTGCACCGCCTGGCCCCCGTGCAGCGCGCAGTTGGCCAGCGCCAGCGCGCAGTGGCGCAGCAGCGCGGGGTCTGTGCGGCGGCACCAGTACAGCACCGCGTCCAGGCCGCCGGCAGCCACCAGCTGTTGACACGTCTCCTCCGAGTGCTTGAACATGTGCTCCAAGATGCCTGCCACACTTCGCGCCAGCTCCAAGGGTTCGCGCTCCTTTGCCAGGTTCAGGATCACGCCCAGCCCGATGCGCGCAACGCGGTCCCTGCCAGGAGAAAGTGGAAGGGGATGGTAGAATTGTCCGCCTGGGGCCTCGTCGCTTACCCTCTCTGGACCTCGTCAGTGTCATGTGGGGGACAGCGTTATCCTCTCTGCCATCAACTCTTGCCCTGGGAGAACTAGACTTCTCAGTTTATAGGGGTGCTCCATCCTGGCCATGTACATTCCCTGACCACCACCCCACCCTCCACCCGCCTTCTCCTCTGGAGCAGCAAGAGTGTCGTAGTTAAGAATCTAGCTGGCAGCAGATCCCCGGGGTACTGGTTTCTTTTCTTTTCTTTTTTGAGACAGTCTCAGTATGTTGCCTTTGGTGCTGTGGCGTCACAGCTCACAGCAACATCTAACTCTTGGGCTTAAGTGATTCTCTTGCCGCAGCCTCCCAAGTAGCTGGGACTACAGGCGCCCACCACAAAGCCCGGCTATTTTTTGGTTGCAGTTGTTTAGCTGGTCTGAGCCAGGCTCCAACCCACCACCCTCGGTGTATGTGGCCGGCGCTGTAACCACTGTACTACGGGCGCCAAGCCCCCCTGGGGTCCTGGTTTCTTATCCACCACTTTCTATTTTCTAACTCTGCTGTTTTCTAAGGACCCTTGGACACCTTCCTTTATCTCTCCATTTCAGTTTTCTCATCTCATAATTAGGAAAATAAAACTACCTGCCTCATAGGATTATTATCAAGACTAATGAGATAATACATGTGAAGTGCTCAGCAGACGGATTGACACACCATAAAAACTCAGCAAATGTTAGCTTATTCTCATGTGAAGTATCACTGCAAGTACACCACTCTCACTATGACCTTCAAATTTGTCCTCACTCCATGCCGGGTGACTGCGGCATATTTATTCATTCAACAGATGTTTGTTGAGGACCTACTGACTGTCAGCCACTGTGCTAAGGGCTGAGGTTAAACTAAGAGTCGCTTGGGCTAATCCTCAGCTGCTGTCGGGGGAGACAATTAAGCAAGTAAACAATGAGTGGACAGGGTCACAGCGAAATGGCTGGGATGCTAGCTACCCAGATGATGTAACGGAGTGTGCCCGGTGGAGGGATGTGTCTGAGGAGGTGACACCTGAGAGCTTAATGTTGAGGAACCCCTGCATGCAAATATTTGGGAATGGAGCCTAACAGGCAGAGAGAAGAGCAAGGTGAAGGCCTGAGAGGTGATCGAGAGGTGATCGAAAGGTGATAAGCTGGCAAGTTGAGGAATAGAAAGGACAGAGATATTGCAAGGTCTAAAACTAACAGAAATGCTCTTACTCTCTCCCCCC